TGTGTGTGTTGCAGGGAAGTTTAATAGTTCCCTCTGATGGTTTGATAATTGAGTCATTCTGATTAAATAACCTGACAGTGGATCAGCAGGAAAAAAAGGCATGCAAGTTTATTAACGTGTATGGACATGAACTTGGCAGTCCTGCAAATGCAAAACTCATAGAAAAGCCAGATGGTTGAAACTTATATTTTCTCCTCAGAAGGGAGAGAGAGATGGGGGACATGTAGGCAATTTTGAGGGATTGTAAATGATATTTAGAGAAACTGAATCATCTCAAAGCATAAACAATAGTTTGTAAATGATTCTCTTTGGACGAAGAACAGGACCAGTAAGTTACAGGAAAGGAAGAGGCAGAACTATACTATGAACAAAGGTTGTCTGACTATGCCTATAAGGTCTCTCAGGTCATCCCTTAGAGCTGACCTCAGATGAAGGTCTGCATGTGATGAAAGGCTTTTAGTCTTTTCTCTGGTGGTTAATCTTGCCTGTTTATTTGATGAGATTTCTAGGGAGGGAGCATTAAAACAATTTCATTTGTTTCGGAAGAATTTTTCCTTAGATAATGGAACTTCCAGAGACAGCCCCTTCCTCGCACTGGTGCTGGGAAACAAAACTTCAGAAGGACCTTGGTCTGAGGCAGCTTCTAAGGCCTTCCAATTGTCTTTAATTCAAAATGACTCAGCGCGCAAGCCACCCTACTTTGGGGGATCATACTCTGAGTCTCAACCCTATGCACATATATACACATATATTTAACTCAGAGATTAATTATTTTGGTTAAGGTGAGCTATAGATCTAAGCCTCAGACTCTAAGGTTATTTTCCCTGTATAGATACTTTTTCCCAAAATATATATTGAATCATTTTATATCCCTTTGATTATAATAGATTAAGTATGTATTAGGGAAAATGCATACTTAATCTATTATAAAATTTAGGGAATCTCTATTTTATTTTCTTGGCCTATTTTTTGGCTATTATTCCAATCAGAACACTGTTTTGATACTTACCGTTCCTTGATAAGATACTTCAATATGCAGCAAAACCACTTCTCCAATATTATTTTTATTATAAAAATATACTTTTTAATCTACACTTATTTTAGTTGTTATTTTGTCATATTCTATAAAGTAATGCAGTGGTATCTAAATGATATTGCCTAAATCTGTACATTGATAGGGTCAAACCCCGCCCCCCCATAGAGTGGACCCGCCTAAAAGAATCAACCCCCTACCCTCTCCCACCAGATGTCCCACCTAGGAAAGGTAAATGGGCCAATCCCTTACAACAGATGTCTAACCCAGGAAAGGGAATGTCCCAACCCCTACCTTCCTGACCTTTAAAACCCCCATCTGCCATTACCCACGTATGGATTTTTTCCTAGTTGGAAATCTTACTCCACCTGCACCCAGGTAGAATAAAGCTATTTTAATTGGGCCTCTGTTTTCCTTTCGTCTTGTACTTTGGAATAATCTTTCAACTTTGGCTCCGTAACCCTTCATACATTAACTTAAACATTATTTTAGTCTTCAGTATTTTAGCTCTCTGGTCAATAGGAGGGTACACCATTCCATTTTTCACCACAAGTTGTATACATTTAAACAAGAGACTTGAATATCATTTTAGTACTAGTTCCAGGCCATCCTCTCTGTACTCATACAATTTTCCAGATGATTAAACCAAGGCCCAGAGACTCATTTGTCCAAAATCCTGTATCTAGTTAGGGGAACAGCTAAACAGAGAAATTGGAGCTTACCTCATGCTATATTTTTCCTATCAAATCATTTCTTCAAGTCTTCATTCATTGCCTTTAAAGCTTTAAAACTATATTTTATACATATTAGTTAGATCTATCCTGATCTGGTTAGTTTCTAGGAATTTTCCAGATTATGGTAGAGCAAGAATGAGGATTAATATTGAAGTTTGGGCAGATGGGAGCAGAGTGGGTTTCTGCAGTGGGGAGAAATTGTGCAAAGCTTATTCTAGTCCATCATCCTCTCTCTAATGGTTTGTTTTTTTCTTTTATTTATTTGTTTGTTTGTTTATTTTTGAGACAGAGCTTTAAGCTATTGCCCTAGGTAGAGTGCCATGGCGTCACAGCTCATAGCAACCTATACCTCCTTGGCTCAAGTGATTCTCCTGCCTCTGCCTCCAAAGTAGCTGGAACTATAAGCAACCGCCACAACACCTGGCTGTTTTTTTTGGGGGGGGGAGGGTTGCAGCCGTCATTGTTGTTTGGTGGGCCTGGGCTGGATTTGAACCCACCAGCTCAGGTGTATGTGGCTGGTGCCTCAGCCGCTCGAGCCACAGGTGCCAAGCCTTTTCTCTTTTTTTCTGAGACAGAGTCTCACTCTGTTGCTCTGGGGAGAGTGCCATGGCATCATCATAACTCAGCCTCAAACTACTGGGCTCAAGTGACCCTCTTGCCTCAGCCCTCTGAGTAGCTGGGCTACAGGTGCCCACTACGACTTCTGGCTAGTTTTCCTTTATTTTTTCTTGAGACAGCATGTCACTATGTCACCCTTGGTAGAGTACCGTGGCATCACAGCTCACAGCAACCTCAACCTCAACCTCAACCTCTTGGGCTTAAGCTATTCTCTTGCCTCAGCCTCCCACCGCAATGCCACAATGCCCAGCTTATTTTTTTATTGCAGTTGTCATTGTGGTTTAGCTGGCCCGGTCTGGGTTTGATCCCACCAGCCTCGATGCATGTGGCTGGTGCCAGAACCACTGAACTACTTCTGTTTAACATTGTATAGTCAGTAGCCAGTGCAATAAGGCAAGAAGATGAAATCAAAGACATCTGCATTAAAAAGAGAAACTCTTTTTTCACACATGACATGATTGTCTCTGTAGAAAATCTGATACAACCCATAAACATGTTACTAGTACTAATAAATAAATTTAGCAAGATTGCAGAACACAAGACCAATAAAGAAAATTTACTTACTAGCAATAAATAATCATAAATTGAAATTCATAAAACAGAACCACAGAATCAAAATGAATTTAGCAAGATTGCAGAACACAAGATCAACATAGAAAATTTACTTACTAGCCATAAACAATTGCAGAAATTGAAATTAATAAAACTGCCACAGAATCAAAAATATGAAATGCTTTAGGATAAAGACATGTACATCTGTCAAAAGATGTGTAAAACTTATACATAGAGTTACAGAACTTTAATGATAGATATTAAAGATGATCTAAATAAATAGAAAGGCATATCTTATTTAAGGATCAGGAGATTTGATATTGTTATGATATCAATTCTCTCCAAACTTATGCACAGTTAATATAATTCCAATATAAATTTAAATAAGCTTATTTGTAGAAATTGAGAAGCTTCATCTAAGACTTATGTTGAAGTACAAAACACCTAAAGTAGCCAAAACAGCTTAATAAAGAATACAAGTACAGGGGAGACGCCTGTGGCTCAAAGGAGTAGGGTACCGGCCCCATATGCTGAAGGCGGTAAGTTCAAACCCAGCCCCAGCCAAAAACTGCAAAAAAAAAAAAAAAAGAAAAATCTTAGGATCTCCTAAGGGGGGAGGAATACAAGTATAGCATTACTGCTAGCTGATTCCAAGTCCAGGGATCAGGACATTATAGTATTGATGTAAAAACAGACAAATTGATTGGTTGAGGTGCAGAATAGAAAGTCTGGAAATAGACTAAATATTGAGGAAAAACTGATTTTTGATGTAGATTCAAGACAGTTCAGTGGAGAAAGGGTCATCTTTTCAACAAATGGTGCTGAACCAATTGGATAGTGATTAAAAAAAGAAAGAAAAAGAAGAAAAAACATTTTGCCACTTACAAAAATTAACTCAAAATGGGTAATAAATATAAATGTAAAACTTAAAACTATACAACTTTTAGAACAAAGGACAGGAGAAAATTTTTGTGATTCTGAGTTATGCAAAGATTCTTTTTGATACCAAAATAACATAATCCATAACAACAAAATTGATAATTGGACTTGATCAAAATTAAAAACTTCTGTTCTTCTTAAGGCACTATTAGAAGTTAGAAAAGACAAACCACAGACTTGGGAAAAAAATCTTTGTAAAGTATAATTTGATAAAAGATGTATATCCAGAATATATATAGAATGTTCAAAACTCAAAAATAACAACCCAAATAACAAATGGGCAAAAGATTTGAAAGGACACTTCACCAAACAAGACATATTTATCACAGATAGCACGTGTAAAGAAGCTCAACATCATTAAATGCAAAATAAAGCCACAATGAGATATTATTACACACTTACAGAATGGTTACAATTTAACAATCTGGACGTACAGAGAAACTGGACTCTCCTATACCACTAGTGGGAATGTGAAGAAAACCACGGCTTTCCAAAGTGGTTTAGAATTTTTTCTTAAAATGTCACACCCATTACTTTATAATCAAGCCATTCCATTTCGATATTTATCCTAGAGAAAACACAAATTTTTTTATACGAAGATTTGTAAGGGATGTTCCTAGCAGCTTTAGTCCTAATAATGCAAAATTGGGAGCAGCCTAAATCAACTGGTGACTAGATAAATCCATGGTGATGTATTCACAAGTGGAATACTACTCAACTCTAAGGAGGAATGAACAATTGTTACATGCAAAAATAATTACAATGCGTGAAAGAAGCCAGGAATCATACAATATGTCGTAACTTAATATTGTATGATTCCATTTACTCTAGAAAACGCAAACTATAGTAAAAAAGATCTGTGTTTGGGAAAGGGATGAGCGGAGTGTAGCTGGGCACAGGAGGGAGGACAAGGCTGCGGAAGCTGAGAGAGGTGAGGGCGGGACTGAAGCGAAGGGGGCGGGGTTTAGACGGAGGGGCGGGGCTGGGACCGGGGGCGGGGGTATAGGCGGAGCGAAGTTCAAGAGGCAGGAAGGAGGGGCGGAAGGGGGCCGGGGAAGGCCAAAGGCAGGGAAGGGAGCAGGCGAAGTGTGGGTGGGGGAGGAGGCGCGCGGAAGGGGCGGGGCTGCGCCGTGGAGCGGGTCCCAGCACCATGTCGCGCCTCCTCCGAGCCCTCCCGGGCCTGCTGTTCCGAGAGGCTCCCCGGCGGGCGGTGCTGGGCCGAGCAGGCGGCGGTGGCGGGCCCGGTGCGGGGACCGGACACGGGGACGCAGGTAGGACGCGGGCCTAGCAGGCCCGGCCGCCTCCTGGTGGCTGTCGGTTTCACGTCCCTCTCGGCGACCTGCAGCCGAGCGCGGGTCCAGGCTGGGCGCTTTTCTCTCCTCTGAGACTTCCTCCAATGCGCCCTTGTCCCACTCCCCGTAAAGCGGGGAGGCACGTACCCCTGTGTGCACACAGTTTTTTCCTTTGGCCAAAACTGTGGGGCTCAGCGGCCGCTGACGCTTACCCAGAGCGCGTTGTCCTGCGAGGGCTGCTCGTCTGTCACCCTGTCGCATCTGAGAAGCTGGCAGTTTAGGATTGCCCTGTGTTATTTTCACGCGTCCATGTGGGGCCCAGGGATACTAGGCTAATCATTCGTTCCCTCCTTAAAGTGACATTGTTAATGGTTCTGAGATGGGACCAAGGTCAAGGGTGTGTGTGAGTATGTATGTTTCCTGCTAAATTCTTTTGGCTCCCCTCCCTTGGATTGGGGCACAGTTACATTTCAACAACAAGCTGGGTGGTTTGGTGCCCCTGTGTGTTGGCTTCGCTCAACTGGCCCACCTCTGCATCCAATTTTATATGTGCCCGTTGAAGACATTTAGAGATACCTAACTGGTGGAAATGTCCCAGTTTATTTGGAACTCTCTTTATGCCCGGACATTTTCAAAATGTAGTGTTAAAGAAATAAATAACGACAGGGTGTCCAAAAGGTCGCCATACATACATACATATATACATAAGGAAAATGGGAAATTGTAGCTAAATATACCTTTATTTACCAGACAGTCGTTACAAAATTTCACAAAATATTTACGCAGTATTTCTGTATGTTCATGAAATTTACACAATATTTCTCTATGTGCTGATATATAAATATAAAAAATATGAGTTTTTAAATTTTCCCTGTGTATGGCAACCTTTGGGACACCTTTTAGATAAAAGCACTTACTGTATCCTTCGTAACCCCTGGTATCTCTAGTCAACCTGCTGTGTGCCCTGAACATTGTTTTTGGCTGAGAACCACAGGTGGAGGAAACATCTCAACTGAGGACTAGAGCTCTCCTTATCCCCATTAGATGGGATTGTGGTTTTTGCGAATCCTCATGGCTGTACATGGTGCTGTCAGAAGCAGCCTCATGAATCGCCTTGGGATCTGAAGTTCTTCCCCAACATTACAATTTGGCCAGACACCAATACCTGACAGGAGCTAGGTAACTTATCAGATACCCCTCCTGGGAATGTATTCAAAGGAAATAATTCAAAAGAAGAACAGAGCTTATATGTGCAAAGATGTTTTTAACAACACCACTCTTATGAACCGGAAACTGGCTAGAACCCAAATCAGTTAAGGAATACTTAAGTAAATCATGGAAGATCAATTCAAGGCATCCATTAAAAATGATAAACAGGTAATAACTCTGTGGTGAAGGGTTGGGCATCAAGAGACACTGCCTCTGTGTCTGAGCTCAGGCTATTACAGAACACTGTAAATAGGGTCGCTTAAACAACATGAGAACTCTAAGATCAAGGGGCTGGGGAATCTAAGATCAAGGTGGCAACAGATTCTGTTTTTGATGTGGACCTCTTTATGTGCACAGGGAGAAAACAAATGCTCAGGTCCTTTCTCCTTAGAAGAACACTAATTCTCTCACGGGAGCCCTATCCTCACTACCTATTCTAACTCTAATCATCTTCTGAAGACCTTACCTCCAAATAACATCACATTGAGGGTTAGGGCTTCCACATATGGATTTTTGGGGGAGGGCTCAGGAAGAACACAAATATTCAGGTCACAACAGTGTCTTTGGACACATTTCTTTAGCTCAGTAAGATAAAAGCACTTACTGTATGACCTTTGTAACTCCTGGTATCTCTAAACCTGCTGGTGACCTATGGCGACCTTTAGGACACCCTGTAGTTATTTCTTTCTTAAACCCCAGGGTTTCTTTTTATTTTATAAAATCAAGATAATGATAATAGTAGGGTTGTACAGAGTAAAAATTTTTAAAAAATATTGTATCACAAAGCTTGGCATTTAGTAAGCACATAATAAATGTCAGTTATAATTGCATAGATAATTATGGAAAGGGCAAAAATGTAGCTACATTTAACCTACCTCATGAGCTTCAGAATGCTCCCATGTCATTTTGGTATCTTCCCATTTCCCCCAATTTATTTCTCTTTTGAAATTGGGGGAAATGGGAAGATACTGAAATGACTTAGGAGCATTCTCCAGTGCTGAGATTTCTGATACGCCCAGAGGCAAGGCTCCTGTGATTGATTCTGTCATCCAGATTGACAAAGAGCAAGTTGGAAGAGGAAAGAAAGAAATGTCCTGGTGAAAACTGTTGTTTCAGAAAAACATCCTTTCTAGAGGTGTCTTTGGTGGGAAACCATCCTGGGTGTAAGGTTACAGCAGTCCTGTCTTTGTGGTGGGAGTGCCCACTGCAGATTCGACTGGGCTGGGCGTTCTCTGTATACCAGTTTATAATGGGTTCCTTTCAGTTTGATAGGCATTTGTTGAGATAAGTCTGGCTTACGTGGGGTAATCAGCAGCATAGCACCTGCTAATTGACCAGAAAGGTTAGTAAAACCCAAGGAAGGCGACCAGTGGGTCCAAGAGTGGGTTTCCTTAGGGATGCGAAAATCAAGGCCCTCCCCATGGGAACCTATGACCAAGAAGGTACATGGCCTGTACAAATCATAGCATAGAGAGAGAAAACGCTAATTCAGGGTAAAACTGTGTAGCTATCTAGTACAATACCAGCTGCAGCCAAACTTTTTGGTAGTTAAGTTAGCAAGAGACTCAGAAAAGAATAGCAAGAGGGAATCTGGGAAACATGGGGTCCCCAAAAGACCAACACATTGGAAGACAATTTTTCCACAGATTGGGGTGGGGGGAGACTGGGGATGATTGAAGCCCATTACATCTGCACCTCAGATCATCAGGCAGTAGATTCTTATAAGGAGCACGCAACCTAGATCCCTCGCATGCACCCTGTACAGTAGGGTTCATGCTTCTATGAGAATCTAATGCTGGGGCTGATCTGGTGGGAGGTGGAGCTCAGGCGGTGATGCGAGTCATGGGGAGCGGCTGTGAACACAGATGAAGCTTTGCTCACTTGCTTGCCACTCCTACTGTGCGGCCTCTTCCTGACAGTCCTCAGCTCAGGGGTTGGGAACCACAGGTACAGAGGACAGAAAATACTTGCACACACAGAAGGACAAGAAGCCCAGCATCAAAACCTCTCTCTAGCCACTGGTGCCCAGAAGACTACTCATTCCCAAATGAGAGGCCTCATGGGGCATTGTATGTACATGTGCCTAAATTGCCAGTTTGACAAAACTGCACAGAATTTGCTCTTAATGCAATTTTCATTTAGACTTTGGTTGTTTCCTAAGGCTACTGCATATTTGTTTGCTAGGGCTGGTATTTTGCTACAACAGACTGGATGACTTAAGTGAATTTAATTTTGTATAATTCTGGAGGCTAGAAATTCAGTGGGCCTCAGGGTTGCTTTCTCCTGAGGCCTCTCTCCTTGGCTTGGGGATGGTCACCTTCTTACTGTGTCCTCCTGTGGCCTTAATTCTGCACAGGCTCGTCCCTGATGTCTTTTTCTCTTTTTATTCTTTTTTTTTTGAGACAGAGTCTCACTATGTCATCTTTGGTAGAGTGCCATGGTGTCACAGCTCACAGTAGCCTTAAACTCTTTGGCTTAAGTGATTCTCTTAAGTGATTCTCCCAAGTAGCTAGGACTACAGGTGCCGGTCACAATGCCAGGCCCTTTTTTTGTTGCAGTTGTTATTGTTTAGCAGGCCCTGGTTGAGTTCAAACCCACCAGCCCCAATGCATGTGGCCGGTGCCCTAACCACTGAGTGACACGCCCTGAGCCTCTTCCTCTTCTTATGAGGACCGGCATTATTGGATTAGGAACCCCTCTTAGTGGCTTAACACAATCACCTCTTCAAAGGCCCTATCTCCCAATGCAGTCACGTTCTAAGGTACTGAAAAGACTTCAGCGTATGAATGTTTAAACAGGAGTGGGGGGCGGACGTCACATTCAGTCCCTAACACCCAGGTCAAAGAAACCTCTTAAAGTGAAGCAGACCACATGTATCCCGACCTGAGCACACCCAACCAAGCATTTGTCATTGCACTAGTAAGGCAGTGTCTGTCTGCCTTTAACCAAGTCTTCATAGACTGGAAGATTTGCAGCTAAGTGTTCTATAATCGGTGCTTCAACAAAAGCTAGTCTGAACATTGTTGCTGCCCACTAAGCCTTTCACACACAATAATAGTGTAAAAGGTACATGTAGTTAAGGATTAAAAGAACCATGAAAAATGCATTTTTGTGTTGAATTTAGACGAAGGAATTCTTTAACACTTTGAATCGTATACATTTTAAAACTAAAAAGAAAACATTAAGACTAGGCACAGTGGCACATACCCATAGTCCCAGCTCCTTGGGGGGAGGATCACTTGAGCCCAGGAGTTCAAGGCGGCAGTGAACTGTCATTGTACCTGGGAACAGCTGCTGGGCTTCCCAGACTGGGCAACACAGAAAGGACCAGTTAAGAAATGAAGTCACAGGGGAAGAGTCATAGATGTTGGCCCAGGTTTCTGGCTTGAAACATGGTGTTGGTGAACCTGAGCCTGCAAGAGGAAGATCAGATTGGGGTGTGGTCAGGAGATACACAAAGTTCTTTTGTGTGTGTAGATGGAGGTGGGACGTCCAAATGAGAATATCCAGGTGGCGATTGTGTATGGGCTTGGCACTCAGCAGAGAAATCCAGGATGGAGGGAAAATGGACTTGGGAGTCCTCATCATGTGGATCAGTGATTTTCAACTGGTGTGCCCATGAGAGGATCTCAGGTGTGCAATGGAGATTTTAAAAGATCATTAATTATTTTCAAAAGAAGTTCAAAGCACAGTAAGTTTTTAACCTTTTTTTTTTTTTTT